ACTCTAATGTGGTCAGCTCACCGTATTGTGGGTCTTCTTTGCTGCCATATAAAGCTTCAGAACCTGAACGAGAGTCATTTCCACAGAGCTGATTACATGCTGATGTTCTGTCCAGTAATTTATCAGTAATGACAGTGAATCTAACGTCATGCCATCCACCCCTTGACATTTAACCACACCTAATCCCCTCAGAGTCTGAGAACATGTGGATGCAGTTCAATATCTTGTGGTGACTTTAAATAATGTAGAAACGTTTTTTTATTTTATTTCTTGACTTAGAGAACCAACCATTTGAGCTCACAAAGACTGACGATGAAAAACAAAGCAAGTTACTAAGATGGCACCCATGCTTTATGACCTGTTCTTTCACCTGCACTTTCCTATTCTTCTCTATGTCAATACTGGTCTTTGTTTGTGTATATAAAACATAGATAAAACTGAAACCAATTCAAAACAAGTGTGGGAAAGGATGTGTACAGAAACCACATCTAAAAGATGTTTTTATTTTCTTAAGTGATGATCAAGACAGGACTCATTACATATTTATGATATTGTAATCTATAAACATTGAATGACCGCATTGTATCTGAAACATTGAGAGCCTTGTTCCACTCCAGATGCAACAGTAATATAACAGAACTGCTGAAACGACAAGGTGATGCCATCTTGAAGAAGCATTTGCATACAATTCATAAATCCAGGAATTACTATAATCTGTCATTTGCCAGCCATCCTTACACATGACATGATGATGGATTGTCTATATCTAAGCATCTCAAAAGATTACATACCTGCAATGCTATCTAGATTTGACTGACTGGATAATATCAGGATTACTACTTTCACATACATAAACTGCTGGCATTTAAAAAAAAAAAATTTAATTCCAGTGAAAAGATTTGCCTAGTGGAACGAGAAGTGCTAATGGAGTAAATCATTGCAGTGGAAAACTGTGAGTCTTTGAGACTGATCAGACTGATCCAAACAAAGCACACCAGACTGAACAGCACAGAACACATTTCAAGGACTTCGCCAAGATGTGAGCTGTAAAACCCGGCAGGTGCAAAGACATTTCAGACAAAAAGATAATTTGTTAATTTTTGATATCACTCCAAAACAAAAGTTCAGTCATAAAACCTCAAAACAGTGACACCCCACCTTTCAGTACACATAGCTGGTTACCATGGTCAAAAGCTATCAAAACACCTCATCAATAGCTTCACAAAACTTTAAAATCAACATGAAACATCATTAGCAATGTGGCATATTTCCAAGTGACACAGATTCAAGATGGTGATCTATACTAGAATGAAGTCAGACTAAAGAATTTTCAAAACGATTTTGGAGCCCTCCTGAAACAATGCAGGCACCTGCTTTTGAGTAGCCTTTCTGATGGGATGTGGAAAATGAAGGTCAAGGTCATTTAATTGCAGCATGTGCTATTTACAATCTTTAAATTAAACTGTGTGACATCATATACTGTATATAGGCCTTATATCGACCATCCTGCTCTCATATCGGCATTGGCCAATATAAAAATCCATATAAAAAAAAAAACAGATCAAAACGTCTGCTAAATGAATAAATGTAAATGTAGAACCTTTATTACATGATTACTGCATTATCCAACAAATGCCTAAAACAAAGCCTAAACAGCTAAAATTATCTGCCACACACAGTTTAGGTGATGTCAGCTGAAAAGATATTTCAGAGACAGCAACTACATTTGGAACAACATAGGGCTGGGCGGTATATCGAGTTTGTACGATATATCGATATTTTCTTTATAAGCGATTCGATATGAGGCAAAACCGTTTATATCGATATACAGTAGTTTGATACGAGCGCATCTGAAAATACAGGACACAGACTGAGCTGCTGCGGTCAAAGTGCATGATCCAATTTGTTCTAAACATGTGACAAGCTTCATATTAAGGCCTTTAAAAACTGGTAAGACAGTTTATAGTTTCTTTTCGCATATTAGTTTAAGTGGCTCGCCCCTTCATATGCTCTGACAGAAAGCCTGCATGTGCCGCTGACAGAGACAGGCTACTCGCGCTGTTTAATGTGTTTGAGATGTGCTGTCTTCGTGAATGCATAACTTACATTTCACAGGTATATTCTCCATCTGTAAATGTTAGAAAGACATGGAAATATTTCCATTTTTCTGTCAGAAGTGCATGAACCTTCTGCTTTGGGATTCTTCGCTAAACTTCTCTGCTAGACTTCAGTGAACCGAATGAGCGCCGCCACGCGCATGCGCGCAAACAGACAGAGCTCAATTAAATAGAAGCGCAATAATTCGAACTAAAATATACATTTCGCTGAAATATTTATAGTTGGCCAATCAATGTGACAATTAGAATTTTATACTTACAAGTAAGCCTATTTTTATGATAGCACTGACTGTAAAGTGACTGTAATGGGGTAATCAAAATAGCCTAACACAACTCTGTGCTTTTGTTCTCATTTATTTTCATTTTTATTCAACGAAGTCAAACGCCACAAATAAATCAATGTATGGGAAACACTGGTAATGTATATCGAAATATCGGAAATGTGTTTAAAAATCATATCACCGTTATTGAAAAATATTATATCACGATACATATTGATATTGAAATATTGACCAGCCCTATTAGTAACACATACAACTGTTCCCTTTCAAACAGTGTCGTGTTCCGAACGTTGTTTAAGTGACATACATCGCTATTGCGGTATTTTAAAAATTAATATCATAACAAAAATAAACACCGGCATTCGGTATGAACCGGTATACCACCCAGCACTAGAAGGACCTCTCTCTAAATCTGTGTTAGTGGGGTCTGGGATTTCAGGGATCTGTAACACAAGCCTGTGGTGTCAGGTCACAGTATCAGCAAGGTGACACACTGAGTTACTGAGGACAAGGAAACCCTGTGTTAACACTTATTGGGGTGGTGTGCTTTTCAGATGCCATAAAGCTGGAGAACAGAGTCACAGGCCGAACACGCCTCAATTCAGGCTGAACATGAAGGTCTACGAAAAGTTCTACGGGAAAAAAAACTAAACAAGTGTTTGTGTGATCCATGTATATTAAAATGATGAAACAGCAGAGTGAGTGACAGATAAAAGTCCCAAAGATGCAAAACCTGGTCATAAATATAAAGTCATAAATATAAACACACTGTTCTGAGGCCAATCTTTTTTATGCAAAGCATCCTTCCCTGTGCCTGAACCACCTCAATGGAGAATAATGCAAAATAATAACACATTTTCATATCTCTCCTCCTACATAGCAGGCTGAAACTCACCCACGACCTCACTAGTATGATTAGCACCAATGATTCACACCTCACACTCTTCCTCTGCTAAAACAGACACACTCTGAAGAAGAGGTTAGAGATCTTGGAGAGGGCATCCGGAGAGCTGAACAAGGATATAAAGTCCTTCGCTTTTCATTAAGCCACTTAACGGAAAACACACATGTTTGTGCTGCCTGTATTGTATGAAGCTCAGTCAGCATTAGTCACACTGGCATGAGTTATTAATGAGCACTGAATCTGTCCTCTTCCTCCTCCTCACGCTGGATGGATCAATTTTCCATCCTCTGGCACTCGCACCGCAATCTGTGCCTTATCACATTGAGAGGGGCAAGGCTGGGTATTCTCACTGCCTGTGGTCCAAATTAAACGTACTAACTGTTGACTGATTTCCCCTATAGACTAGTGGTTCTCAACCGGTTTGAACATTTGAATTCCTGTCCCTTTTTTTTTTTTTTTTTTACAGAAATTAGAAGTGCCCATAGATTAAAATAAGTAACTAAAATAATAATAATAATAATAAAAAAAAATAAACTATTGAATTCCATATGCTTGGGGGTAATTTAAAATAAAAATGTAGTTTTTTTTAAATAAAGTCATTTGTCATCATTGGAAGTCTGTTTTTTTTATTTATTTATAGAAATCATCAGTGTCCACCTATTAAAAAAAGTAACTTAAATAATTATAATTAATTTAAATAATTAATTTGTTGAGTTCCAGAAGTTTGGGGGTGATTTAAAATACATTTTTAGTTTAGCTTATTAAAGCATGTTTTGTTTTAAAAGTCATCATGTTTTATTTTAAAAGTCAGTTTGCTTTATTAATTTACAGAAATTATAAGTGTCCACAGATTAAAATAAGAAAAATGATAATTAAAATGAAAATAAATAAATTGTTGAATTCCAGAAGTTAAGGGGTGAATTAAAATAAGACATATCTTGCATGTTTAAAGGTTTTAGCTTATTTTTAAGCTTTTGTTTGATTTCAAATCATATTAAGTCATTTTGAGGCCTCCTTTGGAAGTATGTTTTTTTTTAATAGATATTAGCAGTGTCCACATATTAAAGTAAGTAATTAAAATAATATGTAAACTCAAAATAATTTCAATTGTTGAACTGTAGAAGTTTAGGGGTGAATTACAATAAGAAATATCTTGATATTTTAGAGCTTATTTTATAAAATGTTTAAATCATCTTGGGGCCCCCTTGGATGTTTGCTTGAGGCTCCCCAGTGGGCCCTGGCCCTTTAGTTGAGAACCACTGCTACAGATGGGTCTAAACTGCTTGTTAACTCATCAGCACTGACAGACCCACTGTTACTGATATACCAAAGGACACTGATTATTAATATGAGGCATATAGGATATTCAGTTTATCCACTGAACAAAATGACTCACAGTAAAGACAAGGTTAAATCAGCCATAAAAGACACTAGATTTACAACATCTACAGTGAGGAACATGAAAGTAGCCTTGACAAGCCGTTCAATTAACAGTTAAGGAAAGTCACGTTGTGTCAGTGAAACTCTTCCTGAACCAACTTCTTTTTTTATTTTTTCTTCCAGTTACCTGTCTTTTAGTCTAACAAGCTTGAGTGAAATAAAGCTCAACAGAAAAGCAAGCATGACTCATTCCCAACAATAAAAACACATTCATACGCATTAGTTTCAGTGCGGTCAGTGTGAAGATATATGTCTCACCTGGCTGGATGAATTCTCAATAACACCTGCTCCTTGCGGCCGGGTTGACATTTTCGCCCAGGGATTCTCAAAAACAGGGCCACAGGGGGAAATATAAATGGAAAAGTGTTTTCAGTGGTTGACAAGCATTTATAAGTTTGTCGTTAGAGGCTACTCGTCTGTTCTGACAGAAATAATCAGTGTTGCTAGCTAGCCTGAACTAGCCACGCAGACAGAGATCAACAAGTTGAAGCCCAACATCAGTCCATATGTGGAGATAAAATAACTTAAGAAGTCTCCAGTTGAAAATAAAGAACAGGTCCTTGAGGAGGATTTATGAAGGGCTTTAAGTCTTCTCGGGGAGATGGAGCTCACTTACAACTTATATTTGCTTCCCAACCGAATAAGCGAGAGTTTAAAAACCATTCATACCCTCCCAGGTCTGAAAATGACAGTCATGGGGAATGAGCACACGAAAAGGGTCTCTCTGCGAGCGATATTAAGTGCTAGGCCAACCAAAAATCACAATTTTACCGACCTTCAAAAACAAGTGTCAACAAAAGGTGAAAATACCTCAACCGCCAGTTTGAGATAAACGAAAACAAGCGTCGCTTGACTAAACACGGTTGTGAAGAAAATCAACCATGAGGGCTAATAATGAAGGACTAGCAAACGTAAGCTGGGTTTAAAAAAAAAATCATCAATCCCGAGAAACCCTCATGATCCAAGAAACCGTCTTCCGCCACTCTCTGGATCCCGGTGACAAACGGTTCTTGAATGAAAGGAAACGTCTGATGGCTCGCGTCCAAAGACAATCATCCAGTCAGGTAGTAAAATCCATGGTTGGCTTCGGGGCTGCGGTGAAACGGGTTTCAGTGGAGGCGGATCGATGTCGTACTGCGGCCGAGCTGCTCAAACGCTCGTGTCGGATACCGGAACAAGCGCGAGAGGCAACATGGCCGATCTCCGGAGCGAGCGGAGGGGGCTGAACGGGGAGGGGCGGCGACGGATACTCTAGGCGTCAGACGGTGCTCGCATACTGCGGTATTCGCGGCCGTAACGGCGACTGTAGACGTGGGTGACATCATGCGGTCGTTGTTACCGTGGAGATGTTGAAATTGAGCAGATGCCTGGACACAGGAAACAGCATCTGTGTGCCTGACCTGCTGGCTGCTGTGTGATTGAATGGGAAGTGTCAAGGCATTTGACTTTTCAAAGAACGTTTAATTTTGAACAGGTTTGCCGCAACAGTATTACAGTATACAGCTAAAAATTTTAATTTACATCCATTTAAAATCAAACAAACAAAAAAAATCTTCTCTCTAGTCTAAAACTAGGCATGTGATACAAAACAGACACCACAAAGCTTTCATAGATCAAATCCGAGTTCCTAAGGGATGTGTGAATCACAAAATGACCCTCCATCTTTGACAGACAAAAGAATCATTCAACACAATTGAAAACCTGTCATTGTTTACTCACCCTTATGTAAATCCATAAACAAACTGTTAATTTTTGTGGAGCATAAAAGGAGACATTTAAAAGCACTTGTGCACTACATTTAGTGTTTTCTAAAGCCATACAAAAGCTTTTTTGGAGAAACAAAAGGACATCCGAGGTATTCAACAAAAAAAACACCAACTTCCCCTCCATCAAAGTTCTTAAATCAGGATTAGTGTCATGATGTTAAAAAAAATCTGAAACTAAAAAGCTACCGTGGAGATTTTTTTAGGTCTGTTTGTCACAAAAAAATATATTTTATGGCTTTAGAATAAATGCAATATAGCACACAACACATGCAGACTTCCTTGAATTTGGCAATCATGGTCACTATGGACTGTAGTCAATAATAGTTTGATGATTAACTATAGATAAAACAATAACAGTTTGATGAACTCGTCATGTTCTTTAGGAAACATTCTGCTCGTAATGATTTATAATATTAGGCTTGTATGGGATCAGATTCCCATCTAAAATATGGCAGTCACGGATAAAAAAAAAAACAAGCGTAAAAACAAAATCGAAGGGAAAAAAAACAGCATAAGCATACAAAAAATAAAAATGTGCAGAAAATGTCTGAGAGCACAAAACCAGAGAAGTATAACCAAGGAAAACGATTTTGTGTGCAATTCGGATAATTTTGCATTAATATTTCAGTTTTTTGCAATATGATTTTAAATGCGTTTAAACTTTTGATTGATGCTTAATTTTTCAGATTTACACTTATTTTTCTATCCGTGACCATTGTTTGCTATACTGAAAACTTTGCTTTCATTTTTAAGTCTTGTTCAATATATTTTTACATTTTGTTTTCACGCTTGTTATTTTTTTATCTGTGACAACAATACTTTAGACGGGAATCTGATCCCATAGACTTGTATCACAAATGCTTAGCACATCCTCCATAACATCATGGAGAGTTACTTTGAAAGATCTGTGCATAAATGAATGCTTATAAATGATGACAATGCAAATACCTGAGTGAATGTGTAATAGACCTCTTTAAATAAACAATCATCAATCCACACACACACAAAAAACTAAATCTGAAACACCACAACATAAAACGAATATAAAAAAAATGCATGTAAAACCAAATCCTGATGCAAGTGTTTAGTCTCTTAGCTCCTGTACTTGCATAGTGAAAAGGTCAGAGAAGAAGCTCCCTTCGTTGTCACCGCCACCAAAAACCAGAAGTGTTTGTGGGGCTGACTCTGGAAGTTTCTCTTGCTCATTCATAGAACCCTGTAAAACAAAGACAATTATTATGAATAATGAACTGAAGCCACTTGCTGAACTTCATTATTTGAATTTGAATATTTTTACCTGTTTGCATGTGGTGGGCATGGTAATGATGGAATGTCCAGCTCGGGGTACAGAATTGAGCTGGGGAAGCATCAGAGATGACCAGCAACTAGTGTCTGAAGAGAGAAAAAATAAATAAATACAAAAAGTATATATAAACATTATTTATTCCAGTTTAAATACAATCTTAAAATCTGTCAACAGCATTTATGGCATGACAGCATCAAAGTATGGGGTCAGTAAGACTTTTTACAAGAAGAAAATAATTTTATTCAAGGCATTTACATGTAAATGAAGACATTTACAATGTTATAAAATTTTGTATGTTTGAATAAATGCTGTTAACTTTCTATTTATCAATCTTGATTAAAAAAAAAATTAATCGTTTCCACTAGATCAGCATATTAGAATGATTTCTGAAGGATCATGTGACACTGAAGACTACAGTAATGGCTGCAAAAAAATCTAGAATAAATTAATTTCAAAATATTAAAACAGACAAACTCATTGTAAATTCTAATATTTTACTATATTTCTGTTTTACTGTATTTTTTTATCAAATGAATGCAACTTGTATAAGATTTTCAACTGCATAAAAATCTTACCGACCCCAGACTTTTGAAAAGTAGTGTACTGGCAACAGAACTGGGGCATAAAACCTTAGTCTCACCTGTGTTGAAGATGAATGCATCACTCAGTGCGTTGTTTCCATTGTAGCCCCCATAGATCAGGAAGCTGCAGTCTGAAAGAACTGCACAGCCATGCCAGCTGTGATAAAGTAAGGGTCAGAGGTCAAATACTCAATACATCTAGGTTGATCAAGATGTGCCCAATCATGTGACCATTATAAGACAACTGACTGAATTTCAATTAAACATTTAATTTGCAGTAGAGAGCATGTTTTTAAAGAACATAAACTGTTCTTAGTCTTTATTTACTCCAAGAATGAATTGTGTCACATTTTAAATACCTTCTGGGAGAAGGGGCTGTTCCACTTGTCTTCACTGCAGAAAACTCCATCAAGCCTGAAATAGGTTGTGACGTGATATTTTAAGCTTTTTAAAAGAGCACCTTCAGTAATTAATGTGTGAAAACAGTATGAGTCATACCAGATATTAAATATGCAGAAAAATCTACAAAGATCTATGGAAGTATAACAGTTTCAAACAGGACCAAAATTTTTTTTTTTTTAAGTGTCGGGGAAAAAAAAAAAAAAAAAGGATAAATCTAACAGACTTCCTCAATCAACAGTAATAAAATGACTTTTATTAGTGGTGAAACATGTCCTTCCAGTGGCTGTTTAACCATTATGTTATTGCTTATTTTCCCCAATAAGAAACTAACTGAATTAAAAATCAAATAAGTCTTGAAAAGTGTGACAATTCTTGCAGTATTTACCGAGGTCTAGCATGAACATGTCATTGAAGCACACAGGGGTGTCCCATCCGCCAAACACAAAGATCCTCCCCTGCATCACACATGCTGAGTGCCTGCACAAACAAATCAAAAATAAAATACTCATCTGCCACATGCACAGCTGAAAACAGTTTTGAAGCATCACTATCAGTCATGCAATTAATGAAATCATGCAACTTTGAATAAAAAGACATGAGTTGTCCTACCCAGAGCGTGGCGCAGGCTTCTCTCCATTCACAATAGGTTGATACCAGATGGCCATATCAGGGTTAAAGATGTAGATGGAGTCACTGCAGCCGTCTGGTTCTGGGTGTGGGCGAGGAAACACTCCTCCAAACACAAAGAGCTCTCCTCGGAACATGCTGCAGCTGTGGTAGGCCAGAGGAGGCACTTTTCCCTGCGCCTAAAAGGGTAAATGAAATTCAAATGAGCTTTTTAGTATATTCAATATCTACTAGCTAAAACTATTACACCTGGATTTACTATGACTACAACAAGATATATGTAACACAAAAACAAATCTTTTGTGCCTAGTCATGTGTTACAGCAATACTGTATAGTTCCGAGTGTTTTAAAGGTTTTCGTTGTTAATCTTAGAATCAACTGCAGACTAACCTCAACCAAAGTCCAACGCCAGGTTTGTGTGTCTAGGATGTGAACATCATTAAACCATTTCTTATGCTTCGAGCCGCCAAACACAAAAATACGCTTGGACTCTGGGTCATAGGTCGCTGTGTGACCAATGCGGGCCTCAGGGGTGGGTCCTTCTGCAAGGGTTTCAGCAGGTACCCAAGAAAGATCCTCTGAAAAACATTAAGAGCAGAGTTACAGCTACCAAATAAAAACATTTAATAATATATTACAATCTATTGTAGGAAGGGATGCAGTGATTAACCAATTTCACTATTAACCACACTTTAAAATGTCACAGTTAATTAACTGTAGAGGCTCCGCTACACCGAGAGTTTCTGTTGCACGGAACGGAACTGTTGCAACTTGCGCAAAACGAAAACAAAGTTACACCGGCTTAAAGTGCTGTGCTTATCAGAGACACAGAGGCTAAAACACACACTAGATTAACTATGACAGAGGACCAAACAGCGAAGCTTCATTTCCTCCAAATAAATGCCTGTAGTCGATAATGTGGGAGCATTTTGGGTACACCAAACATTGAAATATTTCCATTAAAAAAGTTGCTGCTAAAGGAGCGTATTATGTAAGGGATAATGCACGGCTAGCTGTGCATTAAATTATTTTAATTAACAAAATAATAGACATGATTTTCTCAAGCAACATGTAAAATTAGATGAATTATTAAAATTAATACGTATTGATGACAATAACAGTTCAGTTAATTCCTATCATTAGTACCAGTTTCCCCTGAGGGATAAATAAAGGTAATATTAGACTTATATTAATAATAATAATCTTCATTAAGATTGTGATTTATTATCCCCGTTATAGTATTATTTATGTTTAAGTCAAAAACCAACAAGATATTTTTTTTCACCATGTTTCCAAGTCCTCTACTTCAGGTACAAAAGAAATGTAGAAAGAATGCACAAATTCCAAAGGGAGAGATGGACTTTTGTTTGCTTTTATTATTATTTTGTGCTGTATTATTTGGTTACTGTGTTATTTCGGTTTCAAAAGGCAGCAATAAACAACACTTTAAAATCTGAAGAGTGTTCATGTGATTTTATACATTAGTAGTGTTGTGAAATTAATAAATGCATAATAATCGTGGTAATTGTGAAACCGTGATTATTCCTCAGACTCTAATCGTACCAACAAAATCTATAATCGCTGCATGCCAAATTTACTGACATGATGAGACCAAAACATAATGTGAAATGCTTACCTGTGCACAGTTTCCAAATGGGGTCTTTGCAGAACTGCATTCTGGCACCTTGTCCTCCAATCAAAATGGCTGTCTGAGGATCAATGGGACAGAGAGTTTGACCCCAGCGACCTGACGGCTTGTCCAGTGGAGCTGAAAAAGTCACAGTGTTAAACATACAATGACTACCATATCACATAATTCATATGCTCCACACATGTAAGCAATGAGAACATTCACTCACCAGTCTGTGAGGGGGTTTTGGCCTGCTTGCCTTTAGCTTTATGGCTCTGAGAACTGGAAGCTGCAGTCTGTTGCTCCTGTTGTGAGAACAGACGTGTCTGACCTCCACGATGATCGTTCTTGCTCCGTCTTTGAGGTGTTACCTTTTCAGAGGCATTAGGACAGATGTTCTCCTTGCCTCTACCTTCATTCATTTCTTCTTCCTCCTCTCCCTGAGACCGCTTTCTCTTGCCTGGACACTCTCTTAATGCAGGTACTGTGGGGTTGCACTGGAAACATTGAATTGAGAGAAGACATTGCAGGTAAGTACAGGCAAATACACAGTGAATCCAACTCGGGCAGGTTCAACTCACCTCTGGAGTGCATTCCATCTGTGGAAGAGTCAGCCCCAGATCCAAAAACTCTGTAGTACCCTTTGGAAAACAGGATCATGGGTCAGTTACTGTATGCATAGGTCCAAAGACTTCACACAGAATGTAATACATTTTATTTCTTATACATCATGGATAACTTGATTAGGCTTTCAGCAAAGATTGTAGCATCTTTGACCGGAAATTTTCCCTTAAAGTCGCGATGAAATGGAAATAGTGACAGATCTTCCATTTTGTGACGTACATTCAAGTGAAATGGATGATTGACGAGGACTTGGTTCTATCCATTGACTGACTGACAGATCTGAATGCGAGCATGAGGTCGACTGTAAGAAAGGAGTGGGATTTAAGCGGCCTAAATGACTGAAGAAGACTGCCGTACATCACCAGAAAGAAATTTGGCATGTTCACCAGAAGATCAAGTCATGACATGGATGAATGGTTCCCAAATAGATCAACAACATACTTTAGGCTTTTAAAAACTGATGAATTTCCATTTCATGCCGACTTTAAAATCAGCACAGAAAATGTCATAAAAAGTCTTCAGATTTCATGTGAGATTTGTTGTGTAACACAAAATGAGACTGAGCTTGTACAGTCTCTTACCCCAATGAGTTTTACATTTAAGGTTGCTCCACTGGACCAGACACCATCCTCACCAGATTCCCATGACAGACATCTGAGAAGAGAAACGTTTAGTAAGGGATTCAAAGGTTACGATTAAATCATACTGAACTGATTTAACGTAAACAGTAATCGTACTTATTGAATGGTGTTAGTTTTCCCATATTAATGGGTATGTTTCTCTCATCAGCAAGTTCCACAGAGACTGAATCTCGCTTTCCCCAGTCTCCTCTGGTGAAGAGAACCATCAGCTGGACACTAGGCTGGATCTCAATTGAGCTCTGCCAGCCATCACGCCTTTTGTGGGAAATACATGATGAAGAATACAATCCCCTCATACATAGAACACAGGTTTAACGTATGTGACCCTGGACCACAAAACCAGTCTTAAGTCGCTGGGGTATATTTGTAGCAATAGCCAAAAAAATATTGTCTGGGTCAAAATTATATATTTTTTTTATGCCAAAAATCATTAGGATATTAAGTAAAGATCATGTTCCATCAAGATATTTAGTAAATTTTCTACTGTAAATATATTAAAACTTAATTTTTTATTAGTAATATGCATTGTGTAAGAACTTCATCTGGACAACTTTAAAAGCGATTTTCCTCAATATTTTGATTTTTTTTTTGCACCCTCAGATTCCAGATTTTCAAATAGTTGTATCTCAGCCAAATATTGTCCTATCCTAACAACCATACATCAATGGAAAGCTGATTTATTTCAGCTTCGTATAAAAAATTGAGCCTTATGACTGGTTTTGTGGTCCAGGGTCACAAACAGAGAAGTTACAGTACTGTTGATACTGTGTGCACATCTCGGTTAGTCGCAAGAACTTCACGAGGCGGGAGACAGAAAGCCTGTATTGCACTATCAAGACTGCTTAAAAATATTAAAACATATGAAGCTACCTGAATATATTTCGTGCATTAAACTAACTGAGTCATTGTAAGCGTGCACAGCATACGTTGCATTAAAAAAAATATTAAATAGACAGCCAAATGCACACAACGCATTTCCAATCATGTTTGTATCTCAGTGAATTTTACCTCAAAATCTGCTGTGGTGGTTCATCTACTCCAAATATGGCATAAACACCAAAGTCCTCCATTGAAACGCCTTTAGGTTGACACTCTCCACCAGAACAAATGCAAAAAAAGTTAATTAGTCAAACTCCGATAGACAGAGCTCTATCTCCCGCCAACAAAGCGCAATGAATATAAAACTCGCGCCACCGCCACGACGTTTCATTCACGAAGCGCAGTGATTGGATGAGTGGGCGGGAACGCAATGGTGTCGACCAATCCTATCGAAAAAGCAAACTGTTTTCTTCTTCTTCTTCTTTTGGAGTTTTATGGCGGTTGGCAAACAAACGATAGGTGCATTCCCGCCACCTACTGGGCTGGAGTGTGGACCATTGATGGAATAGGAAGAACAAAAAAATATATATATAATAATAATAACAATACATTTATATAATAATAATAATAGAAAAAATATATATTTTTAATTCTTCTAAATCCTGTTAAAGAGATCTAATTTTTAAAAGAATGTCATTAAAGCATAATGATTCAAGGGGGGAAGTCGTGGCCTAATGGTTAGAGAGTCAGACTCGTAACCCAAAGGTTGCAGGTTTGAGTCTCGTACCAGCAGGGATTGTAGGTGGGGGGAGTGAATGTACAGCAAGGCACCAAACCCCATTAGTGCATGCTCTACTGTTTCAGGTAATCCACACAGACTACAGTTCCCAGACTCATGCTTATTCATTTTATATAGAGAAGAATTTAAAGCAGTATGGCCAATGCAAGTCTGGTAATAATTGTATCTTCTCTTCTACTACCAAAATTAACTCTTTCAACCCCAACTTGATTTTGAATATGATAAAGATGTCTTCCTCTCTCTTCCTTATTCCAAACTTCTTGCCATCTCATTTTTATTGCTGTTCTAATTTTAACCTTAACTTCTTCTTTGCTTAGTGGTATAATATTTCTATATGTGATAATTTCAGTGCCTGTTTTGCTAAATGATCCGCAACCTCATTTCCATCCACTCCCACGTGTGCTGGAACCCACAGGAAACATATCTTAATTCCTATCTTATTCACTCTATACATACATAAAAGAATTTCATACAAAATGTCTTGTCTTGAAGATCTTCCACTGATAAGACCTGATAATGCAGAGAATGAATCTGAACATATCACCGCATTCATTGGCCGAGTATCCTCCATCCACCTGATAGCTAATAATATAGCAAACTGTTTTCCTCAGAGCTGTAGAGAAAAACTGTTTTCCTCTTGTTGCAATGTTGATTGACAAGTAAAGTCGGCCAATGAATGATAGACTTCATTACAGGCGGGATGTGTGATGGTCATGAGGAGGGTCAGGGTCATTCTTGTGACTGTAAGGTTTGGTAATCTATGTAGAGAATTTCACCTCATAAATCATAAAGTGAGATCACAAAAGTGACAAAATGCACATGTTATATACTTGACTATTATTATTATTGGGAAAGTTCCATATAACATAACCAGTTAAAATGTTGGTTATTATATAGTGTGAACATTTTTTCTCTTACTACTTTTTATAATCAAATGCATATAATAGTAATTTAAAAAATCCACAGAAGGGTTGTAATTTGTGCGATTGACTAGAGCTGCTGCCAAATCAAAGACTATCACATAATCACATAATTACTGAAATACACTGTCCTCTCGTGACACCTGCTGGTCATATTTGCATACATGTCGTTGCAAAACAGTTTTAAACAGTTCCTTAACTTTACAGACTTTAATTTCTACAGAGGTTCCATATATAATAAGGCTTTAATATGATTATTCACTTAATATCAGAGTTGATCCTTGGGTCTTGATTTCATGTGTGTGTGTGTGTGGGGGGGGGGGGGGTTTTTTTTTTTTTATTAATTTTTTTAAAATAATAATTAACAGGGACTGGAGATGAAACTATCTCTATGGCTAATTCTAATCTCTATGACTGACTGTCCATTATCTCTGTTAAATAAACAAGTGAAAAAATAAATAAAAAGAAATATTTAAAAAAAGATATTAATTTATTTAAATATATATATATATAATATTTAAAAAAAATATATATATATATATAAAAAAATATAAAAAAATTTAATCCTCTCCATTAATTTACGCGCTGTCGCCGTCACGTGACTCAGGCAGGCTCCGCCCATCATTAGATCAACCTTGAGCTTCAACATCACAGGTGATCAAGGGTTGCTAACCAATTATTCGACGCGTTTTCTAGTAAGGTAACGTAACAGTTAAACACTGCAGGCATCTAGTTGTCTCCCTTTTGGACAGTATTTGTCACTTCTGCAACACGACGAGGAATTTCATTTCAAATGTATGTACGCTTAGCAAGCACATTTGTAATGGAGTGCAGTTAAGGCTAATACAGTGTCAGTTTATTATTCCATTACCTACACTCTAGCTCATGTTATTTCGTGTATATTTATATATAAATGTAAAGAAGGCAAATCTGAATGTTTGTTATTAGTATTCTGTTATCAGGCCCATAAAGTACAATAAGTTTTAAAGACCAACATGTTTGTGTCGTGTATTAATATTATTGCAAAAAGGTCTGTATTCTGCAGTATTCTATAAATGTTTAAAATCTTACAGCAGATGATGGCAAATCATAGTATCAATACAGAGGGGAAGCGGCTTCCACGAATGGCTGCCACTCTAATGATGCGCTTTACCGCTGAAAGGGAGCCCACCTTTGGCATCCACAGGGCCAGTTTCAGGACTCTCAGCCCTAACAAGTTTGAAGATTCTACATCTACTGGAGAAGTGAGTCAATCCACCAACCCAGAGTTGTGCCACTTTGTTGACACCGAGGAGCCCTCTGCTGCGGGACGACATACCCTAGAAGACCAGTCATTGGAGTCTCCACCCCAAGTGGAGGACCTGGGCTCTGGCCCAGAGTCCCCTTCTGCATGGAGTCTGAGTAGTATTACAGGAGGTGAAACCACCCTAGAAGTACTGGAGGACAATACAGTTGGCTCTCTTCGGAGGGACCATAGAACTGGAGGTTTGACTGGAGTTTCTAAAAAAATGTTTCATTATGTTTGGTTGCAGATGTTTCTTCACTACCAGTGTTGTCTCAAACTCTTGCTCTTTCAGTGACGTTCACAGACTGGCACAAATGTCGCGTAACAGCACTGTGTACCGAGCGTTTTGACAAGCTGCTCAGAGAATGCCCTGAGTACCACAACACTAAGAGCTGCTTTGCTGCTTTTGTACTGGAGAGAGGTGAGTGCGAGACAACGTTAATAGAATTAACTAAAATTTAAAACCATAAAAATATTTTTGTTACTTGAAATAAAATAAAATATACAATTTATTTTGTTTCAACTAGTTGCCAAAGGTAACGCTTCTCATTTTCAGTTAGTTGATGTATCAATTACTTGATGTACTGAATTAACTAAAACTGAAATAAAAATGAATAAAAGCTATACTGACACAATAAAAATTACAATAAACACCAAAATTACTAAATCTTGGAAATTACTATACTAAAAATGGAAACTATAAAAATAAAAACGATTTCAAAATAATAATAAAAATAGTATCTCCATCATACTAAATAACATTGGTGTGAGATACAATGCCAACCTTGAAAGAAGATCACACTTCGTGCATGGTTAAGGATTGAAGAATAAGATTTTTCTGTTGGGCCAATAGGTCAGATTTGTACTTGCCCTTTTTATTTTTTCTCTCATAAACATTTATACATTTATATTTTTCTCATAAAAAGTAAAATTTTCTTTGCAACATTTTTTTTACAATAATACCTGGAAATCATACCATTATCTTATTTAAACTGGAAACCGTAAGACTTCTTAAACATGTTCAGTTTGTAATTTTCGATCCATTTTTACTGATAGTCATTCTTGTCATTTTGACACAACCTCAACTATGTTAGCCTTGTTAGATCATTTTACCTAGCTGATGGACAGAATTCACAACTCAACTTAATAGAAAACCAAATGTTTAAACATTTTGTTGCATTGTGCATGTATAAAACCATTATGCTTGGTATATAAGTATGTGGGTGAAAAATATCATAAAATAAATTTATACATATTTGATGTGTGTGTGTCAGAGGTGCTTGACACAGGTGGGCAGCGCTGTGAGGAATATGAAGTGGTAGCTCTGGGATCAGGTCAGAACTGCTGCAGTGGTTGGCTTTCATACACAGGATCTGTCGTCCATGACTGCCACGCCATTGTCATCGCCCGCAGAGCCCTCAAAAGGTACAAAAATATTAAATGTACATGCATTTCCATACTCGAGAGTAAAGAGAAAGACAAAGAAATGTTACTTTATTTGCTGTTTTGTGTGTCCAATATATATTTAGATGTGGTTGGTCTCTGTTTCTAGACTATTTGCAAATTAAACTACTATTGCAAATTTAAATGTGAAAAGAATGTGTCTGTTTTCCTGTCTGGTGTCACAGGTACTTGTACAAGCAGCTCCTGCTGTTCTACAGTGCTGATCCAGAGCTGAAGAAGCGCTCCATATTGGAAAGTGTACCATCTGAACGACTGCTTCAGCTCAAGCCACACATTTACCTCCACTTGTACACTAACAAAGCCCCCAAAGGAGCAGCTCAGTGCATAGTTTTGTAAGTTTAACTACTTTGTTTACACTCTATGTCCGGGGGCACCAAACTTGGTCCTGGAGGGCCGGTGTCCTGCAGAGTTTAGCTCCAACCCTAATCAAACACACCTGATCCAGCTAATCAAGGTCTTAATAGGTACACTAGAAACTTCCAGGCATGTGTGTTGAGGCAAGTTGGAGCTAAACTCTGCAGGACACCGGCCCTCCAGGACCGAGTTTGGTGACCCCTGCTCTGTTGTCTGCTCACTGCTGTGTATATTAGAAAACCCTCTATTGTGTATATTAAGGGTATTTAGAACATGAAGAGTTGTTGAAAAAAGATATTGGCGTTTGTCGTTCCACAGACAGGCTCAAAGTAGTGCTTACTCCACACTGAAGCTGCAGTGCCACGCTAAAGGCTCTCTCATCCCTGCTGCCTTCCTGCTTCCAAGCGTGTGGGGTGCTCGCATCTGTTGCATGTCTGGCAGTGCCAAACTCACCCGTTGGACTGTCACAGGAGTGCAGGGGGCGCTACTGAGTCATTTCATCAACCCAGTCTACATGACCAGCATTGTACTTGGTAAGCTGTTCGCATTGGCAGGTAACAGAATTCTCCAAATATCGTAATTGGATCTTGATTGAAATTGTTAGTC